CCTAAACCCTCAAACCCATAAACCAAAGACCCTAAACCCTTAAGCCCTAAACCCGAAGACCCTGAACCCTAAAAACCCTAAACCCTAAACCCTATAAACCCTAAACCCTGAACCCCAAACCCTAAACACCAAACCCTAAACCCGAAACCCGAAACCCTAAACCCAAACCCTAAACCCTGAACCCTATAAACCCGAAACCCTGAACCCCAAACCCTGAACCCTAAACCCCAAACCCTAAACCCTCAACTCTATAAACCCGAAACCCTGAACCCCAAACCCGAAACCCTGAACCCTACAAACCCTAAACCCCAAACCCTAAACCCTCAACCCTATAAACACTAAACCCTGAAACCCCAAACCCGAAACGCCTGAACCCTATAAACCCTAAACCCTGAAACCCTAAACCCAAGACCCTAAACCCTTAAGCCCTAAACCCGAAGACCCTGAACCCAAAAAAACCTAAACCCTAAACCCCAAACCCGAAACCCCCTGAACCCTAAACCCTAAAACCCTAGGCCTCTCGAAAGTGTAAACTTCATCCCAGCAGTCGGTGGCTTTCCCATCGCCCTGACAGCAGAGGTCCGGGCCGAACCCGCCAGACCAGCAGGACCCCACCTTTCAGGGTTTAGGGGTTTTGGGTTTAGGGTTTCGGGTTTTGGGGTTTTGAGGTTTAGATCCAATCTTGTAACAAAAATGGGCAATTACGGTTTAGGGTTTAGGGGTTGAGGGCTTAAGGGGTTTAGGTTTCGGGTTTAGGTTTAAGGTTTAGGGTTTAGGGTTTACGGGTTTGGGGTTTAGGGTTTAGGGCTTAAGGGTTTTAGGGTTTAGGGGTTTAGGGTTTTGGGGTTTTGACCCAACCTTGTAACAAAAAAGGGGCCTAATGTAGTGGCCTTAATAATTAGAATAGGGTCTTGGGGCCCATTATACTATAGATATAACAAGGAACCCTAACAATAACTAGCAATAACATGGGTAAGTATTTAGGTCCCTATATTATAAGTAATTACCAATACTATTGCTGGGGTTCCTTATTATAAACCTAGTATATGTGGGCCCCAAGCCCTAGACCCTAAACCCTTATTATTGAGGCCCCTATTATAACACAGCGGCCTTTTTCGTCAGATTGGGGCTCTCTAGGATGTTATGGAAGGGGGTTCTAGACGAAGGCTTAACAGGCTTCATAGGTTGCTTGAGAGGTTTCGGAGTTTAGGGTTTAGGGTTTCGGGCACTAATAATCTGGGGGCTGCACACCAAACTTGCCGCTGCATGTTCAGAAGACAGGGACGACGGGGACCACTGGTAAGGTCCCTGACTATAATCGACTCCTTAGCCTTCAACCCTGAACAGATAATCCTGAAGCTAGAACCTGACCTTTACAAACCCTGAAAAACCTCTCAACCCCATACCTCTCTTGTGGAAAGCCCTCCTCCTAAACCCCAAACCCTCAAACCTAAATCCCAAAACCCAAAACCCCAAACCCTAAACCCTCAAACCTATAAACCAAAACCCTAAACCCTTAGAAGCCGTTTTTATCCCTTCACTTTTGACATGCCCGCACCTTGCTCGGTGGCTCTGCAGTCGGACAGCACCGCTCGAAGGTGAAGGCCTCCAGCAGGGCTTCTCTAACGTTTAGGGTTTAGGGCTTAGGGCTTTAGGGTTTAGGGTTTAGGGTTTAGGGTTGAGGGTTTAGGGCTTTAGGGTTTAGGGTTTAGGGTTTAGGGTTCCTCCAAGGCACACTGCAACTGTACAAGGGTCCTCGAAGGGGCGTGCAGGGTGGGTTCTGGCAGATGTCTAGGGCCTTCTACGGCCTCCTTCGACGGTTCCTGGCAGAGTTGCTGGAATCCAATTTAGTTATTCAATTTAGTTCTGTAACCGTCTTTATGGGGCTTTGTATGTACGACCGGGCTCCTGTCCTAGGCTCACGTGTTCCCTAAACCCTTAACCCCTAAACCCTAAACTCAAAACCCTCAAAACCCTAAACCCCTAAACCGCTAGACCCTAAACTCTAAAAGCCCTAAACCCTAAACTCTAAACCACTAAACCCCTAAGGCCCGAAACCCTAAACTCTAAACGCTCGATATTGCGTTCACGTCGGTTTGGGGGCTCGCCGGTTGTAGCGTCTGCCTTCAGGCAGGGAGTTGCCATGCCCGCCTTGACACGCCGATGGAGGATCCAATATTATTACTATTATTCGTACTATTATTGCTATTATTTTTAGGGTTTAGGGTTTAGGGTTTAGGGTTATTGTTATTATGATCGTGGCTTGAATAATTTGGGTTTCGGGTTCAGGCTTTTGGATAGATAGTTTGTTACTTGGGAACCCAGAGACTGGGTATTGATAGCTGTCGATAAATGACCCGGTAAATACGGTTAAGGTTTAGGGTTTAGGGTGCAAGTTGCTACAACCAACACACAGCGCCGAAGGGTACTCAAAGCCTCAGGGACACGTTGGGAGTAATACTACCGAAAAGGTCCTGCACGGCAACAACGGCACAAGGAAAGCCAGCATTCTACTTTCCCTAAATCCTACATAAGCAGTATCTTACCCCTAAGCCAAAAAGCCTGAACCTCTGTCCCTCAAGGGGAGTGCATGAGCTGGGAAGCTGCACGCACTGGAGCCCGAAACCTACAAGGCCCGACAGATCTGAACCCTTCCAGCGGCCTTTGTTGGTTTATGGTTTAGGGGTTTAGGGTTTAGGGTTTTGGAGTTTAGGGGTTTAGGGCT